CGCTCCGTATACGTCAACTACATTGAACAAAAAATGTTTGAGTCGGGCCGATTTTTGGAATAAATTAAACCAAAATCACATTGATAATAATTTGTTTAACAGATTTGCCCATCGGACAATATTTCTCCCGAAGATTTTGAAAGTGAGTACTGGAATGCTCAAAATCCAACGTGACCGACGTGCTTCACTAACTGCCTTTCAATGATACTCGGGTTATAACAATTTTCGTATGGAACGTTAGCTCTGAATGACTGGGGGCAATGATCCTTGAATTGTATTGTTTCCCGCAATAGGAGACCTGAAGACGTGCGAGATGGGAAACACATCCGGGGTGTGGCAGTGGTTAACAGAATTCCGCTCCAGCACCAACCTTTGTTGTTGTTCGTTGTTTCTTCTTTCCTAAATGCCAGTTATTTCTCCAAACCTCAAAACTATTAAATTCGGGAGTTCTTGCTTATAAACAATGTGGTAAGCGCCCAGTCAAAGAAACATTAAAAAAATTAACTACAATGAAACCCAAATAAAATTGTGAAAGCACAAGTTCATGCCCTCCTAGACAGCTGCTGTCATGGCATTCTGACTAGTTGACAGAAGTGCTCAAGCGGACCAAACCGGGCGAGAATACATGGAAATATATCGTTCATGATCGTGCGATGGAAATTTTTGTGATAACCAACAAAGAGCACTCGACAGCTGTTTCGGCCTGTTTGGGACTCGTCAGCAGTGAGTACTTTTTGTGAATGCTAACGGTGTAATTTTTGTGTCAGACAGCTCCCACCTCTTTGACAATTGTGTGCCTCACTGAGCATTTATCCAAATACTACAGTTTACCAACCAATCTGGTCTTAGTCTAAGTATATCCAGGAGCATAGTGGGCATGTTTAGTGTTTCCTGCTCTTCAACTGCAACGCATACTGCTACCCTTAAATGTAACCCTCTGTCTAGAGTGGCCTTTGTCAAATACATGTTTGTCACCATCGACGATAATCTTCGGTGGTCCACACAAACTCGCATTGGTGGTTGAAAAATAAAGCAGCCATTCGTCCAGGCTGTTCTGAACCCCACAGTCAGTTTTGACCTCCATTGTTCACTAATACGTTTTGTCAGTTCTACTGTATTGCTTCTGATAGTGTTTTCCGGTTTTTTCAAACAAGATTTCAAACCCATTCGTGATGGTTCAGCGATAATCATCCATGTGATATTGATCTCAGATGATTCAGTAACCACCAAACTTAAAAATGGTCACATCAACTCTCGTGTTATAGTTGCCAGTAGGATTCTGGAAGATCATCTTCAACTAATGCATCCCGATCTATCCTCATGTTTTTTCCATTCTTCCACACGCTACTCTTTTCGGTATCAACCCCGTCGTATAAGTATTTGTAAAAATTCTACCGGCAGCCTACCTAATCCGAGTTCCAACCAATAAGAAAGAATTTTTAAGTGAATTACGTCAGTCTGTGTAAATAAAACAAACATTAGCTATATTCTTCACGGTATGCATTATATGAAGCTGTATATTTTGTCCTATTGGACTACTATTGTACATTTTCAACTGCAGCATAAATCAACCACGGAAAATGAACAACTATTAATACAAAGACAAATAAAGAATGTTCTTTTTCTGAGCTCAGAATTACTTTGCAGGGTCAAGTATTCTCGAAACACGATACACTTTTTACAAGAAATAACAAGCATTGTTTCATTGGACCGTCATCGTATTCGCTGTAAAGGTTATTCAGACCAATGTTTTAGGAAGGACCATCACCAAAAGCACCTCCACGCTTCCATTGTTTCTTTTATTTTATCCAGTGCTAATGTTGATCATCATCCGAGTTTCACATGTATGAGTCGGCGCGATGAACGAACCATAGTTTATTATTCTTTTGATCTCCTCTCGTCTTTTAATGTAATTCGATTGGAGCTGATTTGATTTTTATCATCTAAAAGAGATCTTCGCATTACCACGATGGTTTTCAGGATGTGATCGGTTTAAGTTCTATCATTGTTTCACGTAGATGGAAACCCACTGGAAGCTAATATGTATAAGCTGATATCCCTATGGCAATAGTTATCCTCTATGTTACACAACTTCGTGTGCCGAAAAGCACATGGGTTAAACCCCTTTTAGTCAAGGAAACCGATAACCTGAGATTCAGAGTAGCGATAGGTCCCAATTGGTTAGGCTCGATATTGAGCCGGACCAAAGCGAGGCTGCCCACAATCTAATTTGGATGGATGTGTCCGGGTTCGGACATCGGTCTTTAGGGACCGAAGTGCACTGGTGATAGCGACCATGCTGCCGGGGAAATGCAGAAATTTAGATGTGAGACGGCGGTGTAATTTGAACGCACGACCTCCAGATCGCTATCTTGATAACCACCACAGCAACCACCCCATCACCACGACCAACACCACCAACACATAAGCGATTTAGTGAATGCTCACGAGCCGTAAATCTAACCCTAATGCGAGCCACAACCTTAGATACAACTTGTTACCATCTGATGGTGCTGTACTCAGAAGAGCAAAATGCAATGAATGGAGTTGGTGAGACACATTATAGCAAAACTCGAAGAAAAATGTAATCGGTTAAACACTTGATTGGTTCTCATCCTATGCCTTTGAACTGGGGCATGAAAAGGAGCAAGAATGTTTGTAGTAGTAGTTGGGAGTTTCGATTCATGGGGAAGGCCTGTAATGAGTCACAATTTATGGATTTATGGTTTTCTAAAACAGTCATTGATACTTTTCTTTGACTCCAAATTGACTCAGCGGTAATGCATAATAATACTGATGACTAATCTACTTAACACTTTCATTCTTGTTTGCTCTTATTTGAAAGTGAGTGTAATGATGGAGTCAGTGCTTGATAAATGATTCTCATATTACATGACTGATCTGTTTCGCTATTCCGTGCATGGGCTTGATCAGATAGCTGAGGAAGATGTAGACCTGATTCATTTATAACTTTTCTCGCCTATCATCAATTATCCGATTAGAGAATATGAAAATTAATCTACCCGTTGACCTGAGAAATATGAGTAGACTCAACTAAGCGCTCTCAGTCATACAAATGAGATTAGTTTCCTTAATAAACATATACCATAACTATTCATCAGAAGTGGTATTTGATACGGATACTTGTATGATGTTTTAATCAAACCTGATTAATACTGCAAATGATGAATAATCTCTTCTAATCGTTTATACTTAGATAAGTAAATGGTTGTTCAGTTGAGGATTACTGTGGATAAATTAACTCAGGCTTGTGAATAATCTGCAATCTGTTTGGCAGGAGATTTACGAAGGTTCCAGTTTCTAAATATCCTAGCATGATTTACTGTGAAACGATCAATCCATAGTCATGCCGTGTATTTTTCTCTCCTTTCTATATTTTAGTTCCTCAGACCCCTGTAAATAGCAATGTATAAAAAATTGAGTTGGAATGGTGTATTTTCAATGCTGCTTCCAGTTGCTTGGGCCATCATGGGCAGTCCACCCCAAAATCTCCCAACCTGCCTGCATGGTGGAACACCGACCGCACAGCTTGAACGATACAGGTGGGTCCGAACTAGGCGAGATCTTTGAGTAAGCGCTCCGGTCGGTCAGCCAGTCAGTCGTTCAATCAGTGAAATGGTCAGAAAATAAATCATTTATTCAGTGAATTAAACACTCCAGTCATTTACTTTTGGATACAAATTCTACATATATCTATTTTTTATTGCATGCATTAAATTTACAATATTAGCCTATCTGTATTCACTTCATTACTAATACTTGCGCAATAATAAAGATTTATTTTATGAGAATAATGAAGGATTTGATTTTTTTTTATGATGAATTCCTCGCGTGAGCTGAAAACCTAGGAAGCACTGGACGACTGTTTCGACCTGGTTGGGTCTCATCAGCAGTGCGAATCCATCGACCCAACTGGTGGTTAACAGTGCTGAGGAGACCCAACCAGGTCGAAACAGCTATTTTCCTAACTAGTAAGGGATGGGTTTGAATTGTTTAGATTTTTGAACTGCTAAAAGTGATTTGAACAAGACGTTGATATGTTATCCATCACCAATGTCTCACGCGCATTTCAGTTAGCCAAGTCACTCTGTTTTCTTTATGAACCAAATTTTATGATGAACTTTTACGTGAACAAACCACCACCGAACGTCTTCATATTGTATACACATCGCGCACATCGTGCAAACGACGTGTAAGGTGAAATGCTGTTTGGACCTGATTTGGTTTCAGCAGTTGTGCGAATCAATGTAGCAAGTAATCAGACTGGGAATGTTTCGAACTGAATTATACTCCAGAGGGATACGGGTGAGATGAAGGAAGCGTGGTGATGAGGAAATGAGTCTTACCGAAGTTCTTTCGTGAGATTTGCGAGTGCAGCGAGATTGAGAGGGAAGAAGTTTTCCGGACCCAAGAGAGCTGCAATTGGTCCATAAAAATCTGCGTCACCTTGGAGTTCTACTGAAAACCTAGTTTCCAAAAGGTACCGCCAAACATTACAATGAGAATAATCCTCCTGATTAGAAATGAATTTGCAGTGCATTTCATTAACCAAGAAACACGAATATCATGGTTCCATATAGCTGTGTGTACTGCCAGTAATTTAGCAACGTGTACCTCCAATAATTGCGCAATCCTCGTCTCGGAATCCAATACTCACAACTTGTGCGGGAAATGCCTGATGGATTTTCATGATTTCAGTTAGACTAACACCTATTTGCCATAGTCCAAATCATGAATTACAGTCATGTTCTCTGTTAATCCTTGTCTATGCCTTCTCATCACCGTTTCTGTGGATGAATGTGGTCCGAATCCATTTATAATAGATGACTGCCACAAGCACACATCCAATACTTGTCTTTGACATGATGTTATATCACGAACAACAACCTGTACAAATATTTCAGCCCATCCTCATTTTTTGCTAATGTGAAATGTGATACAATTGGATAAACTAGAAGAGCGTTGAAAAGGTTCAAAAGTGTATATTTAGAGTATCAAACTTGGATTAGCCCATTCGATTGTTCAGAGGCACCAGGTACACTTGGTGGTCTAAAGTGATTGAACCACTCACACAAGGTGATGGCCGTCAACCGTGTAGCTCAAGGGTATGCGTTTCATGTCTCGACCCGAATGTTCGCGAAAAACCTACCCAAATGATGGAAGATAATAGCAAGTGCAGGTCAACATAAGATGTGGAGACGTGGCATGTCGGTTTGCAGAAGCACATTGGATAAATTAGTTGCATACCCTCTTCCTGGGTTGAGTTTGTGAGATGGTTGATCGAATGAGCAACACTATCTTTTTGTGACACTCCCAACCAAAGGCATTACTAATCTGTTGCGGAAAAGGGGAACACATAGACTGTGCCAGTTATAACATGAAGCTGGACAAAATGGGTTCTATGCTTACGAGAACATCTACCATCGATCGAGATAAGTGATCATAGATCGTAAACCTATCAGATGATGGCAGAACTGATAAAATATTTCAGCTTTGAGGAAGGATCTTAGAAAATGAAAATAGACCACCAATGATTCCAGGTAACTGCAGTTAACACTAGATGTACTCGTTGAGATACATTTAGAGACCTCATTAAAATATTTGTGATTTTGATCTTTGCAGATTTCATGTATAACTCCGTCTGTTGACGCATCAATGTGCTGCATAAGATCTGGGAATCATGAAACCCCATTGCACCTTTATCACCGTTTTCAGATGCAAATGTATCGACCCACGCATGGATCGTCAGTGTAAACTTACGCTTGTCAGTATCGAAACTGCTCCGGTGGAGATGAAATACGGCCCAATATCCGTTCAGATTAACACCACCTCGACTTTTCATGTGAGTCTTGCATTCATCACAAACGACGGTATCGGAGATGGCAGCATACTGACTGTTTACGATTCGGTAAGTACGACGGGGTTTTCTGAAAGTCTGATTATGTTTTAACCCATGTAATACCGAAGTTTGCTGTGTTTTGTATACCAATGGTTTTAATACACATTTCATGGAAAGAAGGTTTCTCTTTACCTTTTTCAGTTTAAGATGTCCGAGTATCAATTTGAGATGTTACTTTATGAATTTAAGATGTTCTATGTTGCTATGTGGATAGTACCTTGCACAGTAAAGAGTGGAAACTTTCGATGGGACCCCTGTTTACCCAGATCCATATGCATCCTACCTGCATACTGATCAATGGCCCCCAAAAATTGTTCGCTTGCTTGGTCAAGCGAGAAATGTGATCATCGTGTGAGATACCCCACCAAACCCTAAAGCGCTCCTTTTTGTTTCGTATTCAACCAAGCCTTTGTCGGTTTGTAAATGGTGGCATAGCTCTGACTGAATTGTGGGTTGCATTGTCCAATCTGTGTGGGTAAGCATGCAGACAAGATGACCGTCGGTGCGTATGTTGGTTATGAGTGGAACGATATTTTCGGGGGCCATAGATGCAGGTAGGATGCACATGGATCTAGGTAAACAGGGGTCCCATCGAACGTTTCCACTCTGTACTGTGCAAGACACTATCCACATAGCAACATGACATCTTGAATTGATATTCGGACATGTTAAATTGAAATTCTGACATCCTAAACTGAAAAATGCATAGAACGTGAGTTGAGTTACGTTGCGCAGAAACTCTTGCTTTGAATCTATATTATGGGACGGGTTATTACGATATTGGAATTAAACACAGAAATCATTCATTTGCACACCTTGTGAGACAAGTTTCGTAGCTGCTCTGCTTTTGGCAATACTTCAGCTCTTGGGTGAAAATAAGCGCTTTTTTTCTACTACTCAATTTATCGGCTTAAAAACAACACTGATAATACTTTGTTCTATTGAATTGAAACTGTGATAAAGTAAAATGTGATAATTAAAATGGTACGGCAACAATGTATCATATCACACGGTTTTGGTTTCAATACAGAAGACCCAAGTTACCGGAACTGAAATGATAATGATTTTATGTCAGCATGCCCAAAATGTTCACCACCGCTGTGTGATTTGACTTTGTACCGTGAGTCGAAACAGAACCCACGTGATAAGCAAGAACAGCTAATCTCCTGCTACGTCGTACCCTCGGGAATTCGAAAAAGTGTGTAACTTCCAGGAGCTACAACATGCCAGGGCAAACAGTAGTAGTAGATGCTAATGAGTCGTAAAAAAATCGACTGACAGTTTGTGACAATAATAACGAATACAGTGAGAAGGAAAAACATCTAAAATGAGTGAAATGTCTGTTAATGGTATATTCAGAAAATTGACTTTCATATTCAAACTGATTGTTCCCTGTGCAATCTATTATTCGTTTTCTATACCATTTTAAGATAGCTTTGAGAAACTATAATTTTCGTTTGCGAAACCGTTATTTGGAATTGAGAAACCATCACTTAGACTTGAGAAAGAAACGCTGTCGTTGGATCCGCTTCCGTTCAGCGCACCTCTTTGGTCAATCGATCATAGATTTTTTTCTACCCCCGGATTGACCACCTTTCTTTCTGTGCTGAAATGGGGTGGACCCCAGTCGTGCAACTTGTCGAGCTCTGTGACGGACGTCGAGTCGGTGGGTTGGTGAAGCCATGCTATTTGCGTGTGACAACCAAGTGGGACGCCACTCGATATGCACGAAGGATGACGCACTGTGTCGTGCACACTACAGCTACAGTACATTTGTTCGCAGTTGCTCTAACATTGACGATAGCTTAGTAATCAAAGCTGACCACAGTAACTATGACCAGGGTCGAGTTTTGGGCTTACAGTGCAATACGAGCTATGTACGAGAATCATGGGTCTATTGGAATAACAATATTTGTTCTGTGGGAGAGGTTGGAGTTCTTGGGGTGAACTTGGGTGAATGGGTTGGCTGTCATCGATGGTATAGCAACCAAACCTTACGTGTAGCTCGCCCATTCCTGGCTCAACCCACAGAACTGAACGAAACAGAACGCAGTCGATCTGTTTGGTGAAAAAGGGTTACTCGTTTTCGGGATAAGTATTGTTGCTTAAGAAGCATCGTCAGATGACATTTTTTATTACACAGTGTGAATTACAGTAAAAGGGGAAATTCCCATGGACAAATAGTACACTGTAAAAAGGGACAGTAGGGGAACATTCACGTAAGATCCAGTTTATTGGTTCTGCGTTGAAAAAGTGTAAGATAAAGCTTGATAGGAAAAGGTGTACCAAAGGGAGGGGGTATTTTTTAAATGATGTTTCTTATGTCAGGATGTGTGAATGCAACACAATGTACCGTTTGTGCAAAATTTAAGTTTTACTTACAAAAGTTTTGCTCGTTATATCCATCTATATATAACTATGAAATGAATTTTCAAAATGAGGGTGATGTTGCACGAGTTTGGTCAACACCTGTATATGAGATGTGCCTAATGATTTGACGATTCGGGCACATTTTTCAATTCCCGAACGTGGTGACCTTTCCAACGGGAACAATTACCGACCGGGTCTGCTAAAGGCTCGCGGTTGTAGACAATGTGCTTTCTCACTCGGGTTAGTCGGGCAGGCACTACGTCTCTTGTTTTGGTGACCTAGCCGACCGATGGATAAATGCACCCGATCGGTCGTGTGCTTTTCGGGCCGTCATAGTAGGAGGATAAGTTCTGAATCGGATGCTGCTAAAGTGTTGGTATAGAACGATGCGCCCCTTGGGAAATTCGGAATGAAAACGTTCGTGCGATCATGACACTGGGCCAACGTTTGACTCGTTCAGGATACAAGCACGCAAGTGGGTTCTCGTTCAAATTTGGTGGTAGGCGTGAGACGGGAAAAATTCACTCTTGCTCAGTCAACCGAAGGGCATAGAGACCAGCCTACATAATTTCCAGCAACTCTCAAGTAATTCATAAACTAAAAGTGCATCTCATAAACTGACCTTAGATCCGGGTTACGATGACCTTTGACAATTAACACGTCTAATGTCTTCGGTGAGAATATCGTTTATTCACATAGGAGCATCCATGCGACGGTGTTTATCGATCGCTCGGATCTGACATCTCACTCAACTCACCCGTTTAACAGTCAATCGCGGTTATCGTTCACCCGTTTGCACTTTAGTTGTCCGTTATTGAGACAAATTCAAAGTTTTATTACCGAACCCGCTTCGAAAAATAGTGCTTGTATCTTAGAAGAGGCAAACGTTGGCCCAGTGTCAACATCACTTGAGTATTTTCCATTCCCAATTTCCCACATGGCGCATCGCTCCACAATTGATTATCTTGTGGTGATTCACTACCGACACTTAGGCAGAATCGGATTCGGAACCCATCCCCCAGC